CCCCCAACACAGTCACAATGCAGCCTATAGCTGGCCCTTTAAGCGAGGCCCAGGCCCTCCGGCCTGAGTCCCCCCAACACAGTCACAATGCAGCCTATAGCTGGCCCTTTAAGCGAGGCCCAGGCCCTCCGGCCTGAGTCCCCCCAACACAGTCACAATGCAGCCTATAGCTGGCCCTTTAAGCAAGGCCCAGGCCCTCCAGCCTGAGTCCCCCCAACACAGTCACAATGCAGCCTATAGCTGGCCCTTTAAGCGAGGCCCAGGCCCTCCGGCCTGAGTCCCCCCAACACAGTCACAATGCAGCCTATAGCTGGCCCTTTAAGCAAGGCCCAGGTCCTCCAGCCTGAGTCCACATTGTAGTTCAGGGTTGTAGTGGGGACGCACCCCAGGCAGGGGGACCCCCTCTGGGCGGGAGAGGCGGCTCCTGCTCCTGCCCTGGGCCGCTTCCTACCTGGATCCCCAGGGTTCCTTCCCCTGGACTTGCCCAGCTTGCTGCGAGCTCCAGGCCGGCGTTCCCTCGGCAGGCAGTCCCTGGGTTGCACCAACTCGCCTCCGCGTCCCTTCCGGCCTCTCCTGGAGACCCTGGCAACAGCTGAGTGGGAGCTCCCTTCACCGGTCCTTCTCCTCCAGCTGTCTCCCCAGACTGAGTCCTTCCCTAGGCTTTTATAGCACAGCTACAGCCCAGGCATGCTCGGTAGGGCTGTGGGGGAGGGGCCTCTGCAGCCAGGTAACCCTGGCTGGGCCCTGCGGGTTCAGTGCGGGGCTGCCTCGCCCCGTCACAGGGTGACTGTATCAAAAGCTTTGCTAATGTTGGCACTGGGGGCTTTGGGAGGACCAGAAACAACTTATTTGAATATTCATTATTTGCTTAATGAATATGCAAATATGCAAATGAATGTTACCGGTCCTTCAAAAGCTCGTGAATGGATTTACTGGTCCCCGTGTCAAAAAGTTTGGGAACCCCTGGTGCTGATACCCCTCCCCTTAGCCACTGGCATAATCAAAGCTATGGGTAACAACTACATTACTGACCCCTTGCAATCCTCTCAGATCTCCCCTCCTGGTGGAAACTACCATTCTGTACTACCTCCTCCTGGGAGAAAGGATGGTCTGTAACTGACACTCAGCTAGAACCGACACACTTACCTAGAAACTGAAAAAATTGCTATATTGCTGCAACCTCCTCCCTCAAATGATCCCAAAACTGGGGCCTGAAGCCTAGGCCCTGCGCTCTCCTAGGACACGAATTTACGAAGCAATCTAACTGAACGGTGATTAAGGTTGCCAGATGAACAGTCTGGTATTTGAGCTTTCTTTCCAGGAAACTAATTGAGAAAATACCGGACATATAAACATCCGGAATTTTCTAATTAAATAAGTTTTATTATTATTACGAGTATCAGTACATACTGCCTGGCTGGTAGACATGCTCGCACCACGTGAGCGTGTTTACCAGCCAGGCAGTACGCAACTACACAGTAGAGAGGAGGGGAATGGGGTAGGGGTGGGGGTGAGGCGGGATGGAATCTCCAGGGCCAGACTCACTCATGCTTCACCAGGACTGTGTGCAGGACGGGCAGCACCCCAGGATCTGCGTGCGCCTGGGCCAGCCCCGCTCCCTGCTGGCTGCTTCTCCTCTGGCCAGGCCCACTCCCCCGACCCCCTCCTGCCTGCATGTAGCCACGGGCAGTTCGTTCAAACTAAGGGGATTTAAAAATGGCGGGCGGGGGGGGAG